AGGAAAAAGTTGTCTCATAATTAATTAGACTAGATAAATTATCATAAGTAAAAAAATTAATAAAAGTTATTAATAATTAAATTTAAGATAATTTGTCTAATAACAAGTAACATCATACGGGGGTGAGGGTAGATTTTTGGGGGGTTTAGCCAGAGCTTTGTAGAAGTAAAATTTTGTAGCTGGCACTGAATGTGATACTCATGAAGGAAATCCCTTCTCATCAGCCGAGTAAACGCTGTAGCGTGGAGCCGGTAACCAAGCGGGATTTAGAAAAAATGTCAATTTTTTTAAATTAATTTTTTGATATTCCATAATCAAATTAAATCTGAATTAACTTAGAATCAAATTGCATTAGATCTCATTATAAGAAAAGCTCCCCAATGTTGATTTTTTCATTTAGAAGACTCAAACTCAAGATTTGAAAATCGAACTTTTTCCACTTGAATTAATAGATAATTGGTAAAAAAAAAAAATGTCAACCTTTCATGTATAAAATGTCAGCCTTCGACATATAATACAAGGTTTTACCAAAATAAAATAGTCTTTGATTGATGACCTGCATTCTCCTGCATGCACAGCAGAGTACCAGCAGATTATTGTCATTTATTATTATTATTATTATTATTATTTTTTTGGTAAATGGGGATGATATCATTAAACCACCACAAAACAAAATACACTAGTTGTTCCTGGGAAATTCATATCCCATAATGTCCAAAATACATAAAAGTTTGACATTAACGGGACAGTGAGGAAGAACAACAAAATCCTGCTGCAGTGAATGTCCCATTCTAGCAATTTGATCAGCAGCCATATTCGATTGACGCTTGATATGAAATATCTGAACATAGGAGATAAGTCTGAGGAGATCCCTACAATCCAAGATCAGAGAACTGAGGGGATGAGAAACACAAGCAGTATTCATCATGAAATTAAAAGCAGTACTGGAATCCGTTTCAACAATTAGGTGAGAATAGGAATGAGTAACAGCAAGGGCAAGGCCATCTCTCAAAGCCCAAAGCTCAGCAGCAAGGCTGCTAGTGATTCCAATTTTTCTGGCAAATCCAAGAATCCAACTACCATTATGATCTCGAAACAAACCTCCCGAAGCGGCTCCACCTGGGTTCCCAAGGACAGAGCCATCTGTGTTAAGTTTAATAAAGGGAGAGAGGGGTTTGGACCATTTAAAGAAAGAGGATCCACGAGAAGGAGGGGTTGGTAGGGACTGCCCTGCCCAGAATTCAGAGGCTTTCTCAAGGATCAGCCTTTTTGAAATGGCAGTACCATACGGATTCGATCTATGAATGAGTTGGTTCCGATGGAGCCAGATTCCCCACACAGCAAAACAAAAAACCACAGCCCAGGGGATATTGAGGACAACATTAGTGTTCATCCGGGAGCAATTTGTTTTAAGCCAAGATAAAAAAATCCAAGTTCAGCTGGTCTTGAGACAAAACACCAGGGAGAACATCAGAAAGAATAACAACAGAAATAGGGCAAGAGCGAATGAGATGCTCAACTGTTTCATCTTCCAAATGACATAACGGGCATAGAGGAGAGGAGATAATACCAAGTCTATGTAAATAGGAAAAGCATTTTAGACGATCATGGGCAAGCAACCAAAGGAAGTATTGAATTTTTGGGTAAGTATAAGATTTCCACACCCATCTCCAATCCTCCAAAGGTTTAAGAGGGAGATGCTTTGTAATACAATAAGCAGAGGCAGATGAGAAAGACCCATTAGAGCTACCAACCCAAGCAAAAGTGTCTTCTCTTAAAGCAAAAAGAGATATAGGAACAGCATGGATAAGGGGTTCAATGTCGATAGGAATGGGATAAGCAATAAGATCAGCAGCGGATGCACCAACATTGAAAAATTCAGCAACAGTGATGAGCTCGAAGCCAGGAGTATGAGGACCATATATCCAAGAAATAAGTGGGATATCACAACACCAACAATCAGTCCAGAATCTCACATTCCCACCAGATCGTGGAATCCACTTAATACCAGCCTTAAAAATATCATATCCCTTAATAATGGCTTTCCAAATGGGAGAGCCAGATGCAGGGAGGGGGGAATGACAATCAGAGAGATTATACTTGCTGCGAAAAATATTACACCAAAGTTTATCCTTCTCCATGTACAATCTCCAGTTGAGTTTACTCATTGCTGCTACGTTAGCTTCCTTGGAACTTTTGAGTCCCAGCCCTCCAAGATCCTTAGGTTGGGTGACAGTCTGCCACCCAACTAGATGAATCTTCTTTTGGTTATCTTCTAATCCCCAAATGAAATTTCGAGATATTTGGTCTAACTCAGTATGAACTGAAGCAGGTAAAAGCATGGTTTGCATATAATAATTAGGGATAGCCGCTAAGACCGAAGAAGTGAGGGTGACACGACCTGCCAAAGAAAGGAATCTGGACTTCCATCCTGCAAGTTTAGCTCTCACTCTATCAATAATAAATTGACACTTCCCTTTAGAAATCTTTTTTGCCGAGATGGGAATACCTAGATAAGTACCAAGGTCCTCCGTGCAAGGAAAGCCCAAGATAGTAGAAAGGGACTCCCTATTGTTAATAGACACATTTTTGGAGAAGAAAATCTTCGATTTAGCAGGATTCACCCGCTGGCCAGATCTACTGCAAAAAAAATCCAAGAGGTTTTTCAAGTAAACACAATTTTGAGGGGTAGCCTTACCAATGAATATAATATCATCTGCAAAGAACAAGTGAGAGAGCAAAGGCCCTCTCCTACCCGCCTTAGAACCTTTCCAGTGTCCAGCCTCCATATCAGCAGATATTTTAAGAGATAAAAACTCCATGCAAATAATGAACAAATATGGAGAAAGGGGGTCACCCTGACGGATGCCTCTAGTTGGAAGAAAAGATTCAGTTTTGTCTCCATTCACAAGAACAGAAATAGATGAAGAACAAACCATTGACATAATAAGATTAATGATCTCCATTGGAAACTTGAAGAAAAGCAAAGCCTCCCGAATAAAGCTCCACTCGAGCCTATCCTAAGCTTTCTCTAAATCTAGTTTGCATATCATATCCCCAACTTTACCAGTCTTCTTCTTGAAAGAATAAACTAATTCTTGAAGAATAAGAACATTATCCATACCTTGTCTACCTGGGATAAAACTTGATTGACAGGGGGAGATAAGTTTATCCATCCAAGGCTTCAGTCTATGAACAAGAATCTTGGAAATAATTTTGTAAGAGGTATTACACAGCCCAATAGGTCTATATTGTTGAATAGTTTCAAGGGATTTAACTTTAGGAATAAGGACCAACAGGCACTCATTCCACTTTGCTGGAATAGTACTCTCCTGAAATATCTGTTTGATATCATTGCAGACTTTATCCTTAACCATAGCCCAAAGTTTTTGATAAAAGAAAGGGTGGGTACCATCTGGGCCAGGAGCTTTATAAGGCTTCATAGAGTTAACTGCTCTCAAAATTTCAACTTCGGAGGGAATTCCATTGAGAGAATCCAAACTAAGGGACTCGTCAGTAGAAAGTTGAACAGTTTGAAAAGAGTCCATAAAGGACTGATCAAGTGTGGTGGAGAAAAGATCCTAGAAGAAATCAGTAGCAATTTTGGAAATGGACGAGCTATCCTGAATCCAGTCCCCAGCAAGGTTCTTAAGCCCAAGGATCCTGTTCTTTGATCGGTGTTTAATAGTGGATAGATGGAAAATTTTGGTATTCCTATCCCCCTCGACAATCCAATTGGTTCTAGATTTCATGAACCATAAATCCTCCTCTAATTTAAGCACACGCTCAAATTCTTGAATAAGCTCCTTTTCAAGATTCCAAAGGAAGTGAGAAAAATTATAGGAAGCAGACTTTTGAATACCAGCAAGTCGTGAAAGGAGCTTTTGCTTTCTTTTGAAAATATTCCCAAAAGTATTTCGACTCCAAATCCTTGCTTGCTTCATAGAGGTATCTAAATAATCAGATGTGTTGGAGTTATTAGATGACCAAATTTGTTGAATAAGAGCTTGAAATTCAGGATGATCAAGCCAGAATTTTTCCATACGAAAAGGTCTAGAACCTGTGCGAGGAGTAAAGGGCTTAAGATCAAGCAAGATTGGACAATGATCAGAACTAGTCCGTGGAAGATGAAAGAGAGTTGCTTCAGGAAATAACAATTTCCACTCAGGATTTTCCCAAGCCCGATCAAGCCTTTCTCGAATAAGTTGGTGCGAAAATCTCATGTTAATCCAAGTAAATCTATTACCCACAAACCCCAGATCAATCATGTTGCAATTGTTCATGCACTCCAAGTAAGCCCGGAAACGGGCTTGACATATTCTATTACCACCAAATTTCTCACTTTGGTCTAAAACGTCATTGAAATCCCCAATCATCATCCAAGGCATAGATATGTTTTCAGCAATAGTAGATAGTTCATTCCATAAAAGAGCTCTAGTAGCTATTTGGGGCCTACCATAAATACCAGAAAGAAACCAATCAATAGGAAAAGAAGGGTTATTACATACCTTAATAATTGCATGAATGGCTTGATCACTATAGGAGACAATGTCCACCACAACCGCAGCATCATCCCATAAAAGCCATAGCCCTCCAGCAAGCCCATTAGAGTTCACCACAAAGGATTTAGCAAATCCAAGAGAAGCTACTTGGCTTCGAGCATCCTCTCCAGATAATTTAGTTTCAACAACCAGCATAATAGCAGGATTATGAGTGCGTTTCAAATCCATGGCACTGCTATGACAATTATGTTTTGCTGCCCCACGGTAGTTCCATGAAATGATCTTCACCATCCAATCACTTTGATTTGAGATTCCTAGTAGGATCTGGGCTAGTGTCGAGTCCAAGATTGGCACTGGAAGCCTCTGGTCCTTGAACAGGAACCTCGCTTGGGAGAAGTGGAAGGGGATTAAGAGAGTCTCGTAATCCATTTCTGTCTTCGTAAATAACGAGGGGAGCATTTTGGACACTAACTGAAGATGTTCCATCTTGCCCTTCATGTTGATTATCTTCAGATGAGGCATGTAAGCTGAGCTGGAAATTTGATGCGGAATGATAAGGCCCAAGTCCTCTTCGATATTGGCTCCTTCTGACGACTCTAGATTCATGATCTGAAACTGTTCTCTTGAGGCTAGGTCGGTTGATGGAGCTGGGATAAGATGTAGAATCCCCTGTAGATCCATATGATTGCAGGTGATTATTGGAGCGAGCCATGCCTCCAAAATCTGTGGCATTGTCCAATTCTCACTCCTTGGAGAAACACCGGCTAGCATCCGTTCCAACGCATAGTCCAGACGAATCTTGGTGTTGCCCCTTACTAAGCAGATCTGGAGGTTTGGGTGAAGGGACAAGAAGTTGAGGGGTTCCATGGGTTGAGGGAGAACAGAGAGAAGAAAATATCGATGAGCAGTGAGAGGATTGAGTGAGGGAGGATGAAGGTGGGGCACAAGATGTAATGGGTTGAGAAGAAGAGTCTACTCCCGTGATATGGGTGGTAAATATAGGTCTCATAATTGGAGTGGGCTCTGATGATGAGAAAGAAATAGGAGCATTGACAAGCTCAAGAATGTTTTGGGCCTTGGGGTTTGGGTCTGATATAGGCTTGGTTTTTGCTCTGGGCTCAAGGTGGCCCTTACCTTTAGAAACACTCTGGACCTTTGATGAGTTTTTGATGACCCATTGGGGTTCTTTAAATTTCTGCTCGTTGAAACTTTCTAGCTAAACTGCTTTTCCAGATATAGTTGACACATCAGATTTGACACTGGTTTGCTCAGCATTAAATGCTCTTGGCTTGTGACCGTTAGTTTAGCTCACACGATTGGTTGTAGATCCAGATTGAGATTTCGGACCCAGTTTGCGGATCGGGGCTCCAGACCCACGAGATGAGCTAGGCACTGTAGTAGCCATTGTCTTCTCCGATGAGTTCCCAACAACTGGGGTTTTTTTTCTAGGCTTCCGACGTTCCACAAGAAGCCAAGGGCCAAAATCAGTGCAATCCTGTTGAGTATCCCCCTGAGCAACCAGATTTTTTGTGTTTGTATCCTCAATTATAGTCTCAGGTTCTTGGGCATTGGATGCATCAACTAGTTTGGGATCAGAACTCACTGCAGGGGCGTTCGAGATAGCATTGATTGTGGGGGGGATTTTGTCCTTGAGTCCTGGGCATTGATTGTTGAAATGGCCAATTCGTCCACAATTAAAACATAAAGCATTAACACCCTCGTACAGAACCCTCTGTTTTTTTTTACCAATTCTGACAGCCTTCACAACTGGGCGAGATAGATCAATTTGGACACAAACCCGTGCATATTGGCCTCGAGTGTGGTGAGCGGTATGAGCATCTACGCGCAAAAGTGTCCCAACCTCATTTCCTATTTTTTGAAGAGTGGTGGGATCGTAATGATCAGCCGATAAGTTTGGAAACCTTGCCCACAGAGCAGTGGTAGTAGTTGAATTAACTGCCTCTGCAGGATCAAAGTTTGGTTCGCAGGATCAAAGTTTGGTTCCCATCTCCTAATAGTTAGATAGTAGGGACCAACAAACCAAGGCCCACCAAATATGACTCTGTTTAGGTCCTCTGGAACCTAAAATCAAACAAGAAAAAAAGCAAGTCCCAAGTCTATGAAATCCCACTTACATGTTGGCTTCCATTGAGCCTTCACCCTTGGAAAAACATAATTGTAACCAAGAGGTTTGGAGTGAAAGGCTTTGATGATGAGGGCATTCATCCATGGCTCTCTTATGCGTCTCTTTTCAGCTTTGGAAAGCAAGATGATGGGAGTTGGGTCATTCGGATCGTCATCGACATCCGAGTCCTCATCCATGTATCCTGGAGTGGTGGCAAAGGATACAATTGTAGGATTCTCATCAAATAAGAGTTTATCTTTGTAAGATAACGCTGCCAAATTACCAGGTTGGGTAGCCTCAGACATGGATATATCCCCTTGCATGGTGGGAGGAGAAGGAGAATATACCATACTGGTATCAGTAACAGGATCTGAGTTTGGAATTTTTGTAGTACTTTGATCACGTAGATCTGATTCTTGGGACGAAGAAAGGAGAATTGGAGATTGAAGATTCTCAAAGATGGAGAGCTTCTCGCGGACGCTCATAGCTGCCTAATTTCGTATTTAGTTATAAAATCCGCATGGTACTATTCTTGAAATGCAAAAAGGGGCGCATATCATCCCCTGTACTTTTTGACCGGTAGCAAATCAGTCCCTCAACTAAAAACCTTTAAGCAACAAGCTCTCGTGAATTTAGCAAAGATAGAGGTTCATTTTGTAGATTGGTTCCGTATATTTGCATATTATCTACGTGGCATGTTAGAAAATTGAAGTGCTGTTTTTTTTTTTTTTTTTTCATTTTTTGAAAAAAAATTGTACATCAATGTTTGGGTCCCAAAAAATAAGAGAAAAAATGGACATATCATCTCTGGGTCATTTGGAGTCTCCACCAAAATGAACTCTCCGTTCAACTTAACAGATCGCTGATTTTATCCGTCAATGAAAGGCTGATTTGCCAGCAATCGAGGAGTATAAGGGCTCAATCACTATTTTGGCTTCTTAAAATTAGATAAATATACTTTTTTTCACCTTTGAGAATATCTTCTCAAAAATCAGTCAAACAGACAGTAATTCACCAGATTGGAGACAATTCTTTTTATAAATTTTTGTACAAATTTTATATATAATATTTTTATATAACTTTATATATTATTGAAAGACAATAATTGATATATTATTTATTTTATTTTATTTTATAATATATTAATTGAAAAAACATTATTTTTAAATTTAAAATCAAGGTCAAAAAAATTTTAATTGTAGATTTTAATAGTTAAATTGATGAATATTGATAAATATGTTAAATTAAATAGTATACAAATTATTTTTTATTATTTAATAATTGACTTTTTTTACACTATTAAAACTCATAATATTATATATTTACTCTTTTTTGTTATTACATGTAGAGATTAAAAATTCAACCTTAAATTTATAATTAAGAGAATAAATAACTTTACTATTAAATTATATAGAAGAAAATTATACATTTATTTATTTATTTAATAATATATACAAATTATTAAAAAAATTTTTAAGTCTAAAATTAAAAATAAAAAAAAAACTTAAAAATGCAACAATGTATATCACATTACAATATATATAACATATAGGAATTGGTTGAATTAAATGCATTTATATTATATTTTAGGACAATGATACATACACCCCGCACAATTACACACTCCATTACGTTAGTATGTGACGAAAATCATTAATTTTAACAGTATAAATAACAGAAACTGTTAATTTTAATGGTGTAAGTAACAAAAATCATCAGTAACGAAAACCATCAGTTTTACTATTACAAGTAACAAAAACTGTCAGTACGTAACAAATGTATAATTTTGTAGGATGTACAGATCATTTCCCTATATTTTAATAGCTAAACTATTTGGGTGTAGGCATGTATGTCAAACCAATGAGTATTCAAATCATTTTTCAAAACAAAACTAGAAATTAAAAATTAAATATTTGTGTAAGATAAACTTTAACATTGACAATTAAAAATATTTACTTATTTAATGCATTAAAATTATTTTTGTTCTTAAATCTTTAATAATCATAATAATATGCCTCAAAAATATTTTATATTCAACATTAAACAAAATGAATAACCATAAACATGATTCCATAATTAAAATGCAATTACTTATTTCCATAACATGGAGAGATCTCTAACATTAACTTTCTAAAGGTGTTAAACATGTGAAATCAAATAAGTAAATCCCAACCTTTAAAATTATGAAA